CTTGTTGATTCCAAGGTGGCCACAGTGCAGTTTGTCTAGCATCTCGTTTCTCAACTCTTTGGGTACAATAATCTTCTGTCCTTTGAGAAGTAGTCCCTGTGAGATCGTTATCTCATCTCTAATGTTCCAATACTCATGAATCTTGGTTGGCGTCTCTTCCTTTGTCTCTGGCCATCCTGCCATAACTACACTTTGAAGTAGTGCCAAGGTCATGTCATTTGCTGTTGCTTTAGCAAATCTGTCTRTCTGTGCATCAGAGATCATGTGGTCAAGTACACTAATCTCTAGAATTTTAGTGTTCACTAGTGTTTCTTTCAAGTAGGCTCTCGACAATGTATCTGCRAAATACATCTCTGCACCACGTTTGTACTTCAGTGTGATATTTGGGTATCGCTGTAACTGTACTAGCATTCTTTGTAGTCGTAACGGTGCAGCATACAATGGTTTCTTCGTAATCGACTCTAGTGGCTTGTGGTCTGTTTCTACTATGACATCACAACCGACAATATATTCGTCAAACTTGGAACATCCAAAAACAACTGCTAGTAGTTCTTTCTCTAGTTGTGAATACGAGTTGCTGTGCTGGTGTTAGTGCCTTTGAAGCATAAGCTACTGGACGATCATTTTGGATTAGAACTGCTCCTAATCCAGTCGAGCTTGCATCAACTTGTAGTTTTAGACTTTCAGTCTGGTTGTAATACTGGTGCTGCTGTCAGTGTTTTCTTTATCTCCTGGAAACTTTCCTCTTGTTGTTCATCCCAGTGCCAAAGTGTTTCTTTCACTAGTAGTTCTCTCAGGGGAGCTGTCAAGGTGGACATATTTGGAATGAACTTGCTTACATAGTTAAGTACTCCAAKGAGTCTCTGAMCACCAGTCTTATCGGTTGRTCTCGGCATCTCCACCACTGCTCTCACTTTCTCAGGATCGGTTTTCAATCCTTCACACGTAAATATATGGCCAAGGTATTTCACCTCTGTTTGCTTGATTTTTGACTTTCTCGGGTTGAGTTTCAAGTTGTTTTGTCTTGCACGCTGTAGTGCAGCTTGTAGTCTTATGTCATGTTCTTCTTCGTTCCTACCGTGAACAAGAATATCATCCATCATGACTTCCACACCRTCTAGTCCTTCAAAGACCAGTTCCATTCTCTGTTGATATACTTCAGGTGCTGATTTGATTCCCATTGGCATCCTCAAGTAACGAAATCTTCCAAAGGGAGTGTTAAATATCAAGAGCTTTCTGCTCTCTTCATCGAGCTTTATCTGATAAAATGCCTGTTCTGTGTAAAGAGTTTGGCTCCAGTACATCTTGCAGCTATTTCTTCCACTATGGGTAGTGGATAATGTTCACGTTTGATGGCAACATTCAAATCCTTGGGGTCTATGCATACTCTTACGGATCCATTTGGCTTTTCGACAACAACGGTACTGTTCACCCAATCCGCTGGCTCGTTCAATGGTACCTTCTCAATTATGTTTAATCTGACCATGCGGTCTAGTTCGTGCTTCAGTTTGTCACGTCTGGAATGAGCTATCCTGCGAGGAGGGTGTACAACAGGAGTTATACTAGGATCAATTGTTATATGGTACTCTCCAGGTAAACATCCTAGACCAGAATAAACATCTGAGTAATCCTTCATGAGTGCTTCAATGTTCACACAGTTCACACGCTGAATTAGTCCCATTTCTTCACAGCTTTCTCTTCCTAGGTGTGTAGTTTCCATCAACAATTGGAAAGACAGGTTGTGTTTGTTTCCTCTATTTACTCCAATTAATGTGCACTGTCCCAGGGGCTTAATGAATGTTTTGGTATAATTCTCGAGCTTAACTTTCGTTTGTTCCAATGGCTTAGTAGTAATCTTGTCATAAATTTTCTTTGTTATAACGTTGCRTTGAGCTCCGCTGTCTAACTTTAGATTTACTTGTAGATTTCCGAAATTGACTGTCTCGACCCAGTCCTTCTCTCCGACTTCAAGAGATCCAATGTGAAAACTCTCATCTGAACTTAAATCTTCTACAACATCATCATCATGCTCGTTGACACAGTTAATATTAGATGAATCTTTTTTCTTCTTAGGACAAAACTTCGCAAAATGGTTTAACACTTTGCATTTATGGCACTGCTTGCCATACGCTGGACATCGCTTTGGAATATGAACTGTTCCACACTTCGYACAAGCTTTTCGAGATGTCTCTCTCTCTTTGTTTTGGCTGTTGGAAGCTTTATTTCGCTGTCCTTTTGCATAACGCCGTCCAACTRACTCGACAGCTTCAACAGAGTCCGCCGCTTTGGCGCCATTACTGGTAATAGACTGCAAATGTTGTCTATTCGTTTCCACGATTCTTGCTGCTTTTAGCGTATCTTCGAGGCTTTTGTCGCTTTCCATCAATCGTTCTTTTAGTTTTATGTCTCTGAGGCCTAAGACTAACTTTGTAGTTATCCATGATTCTCCTCTGTCACCAAGATCACAATTTTTTGCTAGGGCTTTGAGAGCTCCGCAGTATTCGTCAACTGACTCGCCGTCTCTTTGATTTCTTTCGATAAACAAATGACGATTGAAATTCTTTGAACAAAGTGGCTCAAAATAAGCTTTGAACTTCTCTTCGACTGCTGAAATTTCATCAGAGTCCTCTTCCTTCTCCCACGTGAACTGAGAAAAGATTTCTTGACATTCTTTGCCTAACACGTGCAAGAGTGTCGCGACTTGTATCTTCTCGGACTTTTCTTCAAGTCCACTAGCAACCTTGTAAAGGTCCCACGAGCGCTTCCACTGTCTCCAGCACTCGGACTTGTCTCTCTCCTCGCTTAATCTCAAAGCAGAGGGAGGTTTCAGGTGCTCCATATCCTCTAATTTTAGAGTTTTGTTCTGACACCATGTACTAACACGCACGCCATACTTGGGTTCATACAAAGCACACTTTATTGTAAGCACATGA